GTGGGTGTGGGTGTGGGTGTGGATGTGGGTGTGGATGTGGGTGTGGGTGTGGGTGCGGATCTTTTCTTTACCCACATGCATGCCCACACCCACCCACACCCACCCACACCCCCACCCACTCACACCCACACCTACGCCCACCCACACTCACACCCATCCACACCCACACCCACACCCACCCACACCCACCCACACGCACAGCCACACCAACCCACACACCCACACCTCATGCCTACATCCACGCACACACCCACACCCCACACCTACACCCACACCCACCCACATCCACATTAGAATAAATCAGAATTAATGTTTATGAATTCAGATTGAAAGATATGAATGATCTCAGGGTAATAATAACGTTAGAAATTCGAGTGAATTTCGAAAAACATGGTGCATATCGCTTTGGCATCGAACAAAAGGGTAATTTATATACTATAGCCAAAAGTGATGTTTTCTATAGTGTTAATGAACTTGATCTTTAAGAATAAAGACATACTATATAGTCTTCTCTTTAAAATAAAAGAAATCATTTTTGATAAGGTTTGCTCAGTAGTAGTGTTATATGCGGGGTGTGGGTGTGCGCTAAGTGATCTGTGATAAGAGCTACACATGCAGCCTCGACTCCTAGCATGTAGAAAACCTAGTTGAACGCAAGCCAGATAGTAAAATCAGTTGCTTGATCGAGTTATCATTACGGAAAATCTTATTCTTCTAATATTTTCAAACGTCACGAATATCTGTCTACGTGACTGTACATGTGCCAGCAAACAGGGTGTGGGTGTGGGTGTGGGCATGCATGTGGGTGAAGAAAAGATCCGCACCACACCCACACTCACACCCCACACCCACACCCACCCTCTCGCAGTCAGTACCTGTCGATATTAGATAATTCTAGTGGTATTTCAGCCGTCAACTAATTTAGTACTTGAATAGTTGAATTATTGAATAGTTGAATACTTGAATAGTTGAATAGTTGAATAGTTGAATTATTGAATAGTTGAATACTTGAATAGTTGAACTAATTGTTGAATACTTGAATGCAACTTTCAAGTTTGACACTACTGAAGTGTGTAGGTATAGGGATATAGCCATACAAGTATAGTTATAAGGATATAGGGATAAGGGTATAGTCATACAGGTATAGGTATAAGAATACAGTCTTACAAATATAGCTGTAGAAATATAGTTATACAGTATAGGCGCCAGAATTTAGATGTTGAGGTAGCAACACTCCAATCTAGTTTGTAGGCTATAGTCATTATAGTGTAGCAACAACGTAGGTGGATTTGTAATAGTTGCTGTGATTTTTAATCGATTCCGAATCAATTAAAAGTCGATTAAAATCAGCCTTAATCAATTTTAATCGAATAATATAGCAGAATAACTGCTTCTGCAGTTATAATCGATTAAGGGTGTATGATTATAACCGACTTTTCGTCAAATTGTAATCGATTTTAATCTGATTTTTTCCCTATTTTTTTACATGGATAGCTTCGTATTAGGTATAATGAAAAATCAATTCACCAGAAGCTAAAGCATTGAATTGTTGTAAGAGAACACGAGAGATATCTCAAAACTCACACCCACAATCTAAACAAAATTCTCCGTTGTCTAAATTTTAGTTCGAGAATTGATGGAATCTGCAACAATTGAAGTTCGTTTTAAACAAACTGGTGAAACTATTAATGTACCAGTGTCATCAACATCGACAACTAAAGATATTATTAAATATGTATGTGCAGAAAGTGTACGCAGAGAAAAAATTGATTATAATGATTATTATCTCGTTTTGGTGAACAATCAAGAAATGTTGGATGATGATAAGACGTTTGAAGAAATTCAAGCTATTTCAAGAGAAAATTCTGACTTTCAGCTGTGTATGAAAATAGAAATACGTGAGCAAATAATGAGTCTTGCTCGACCATATCTAAGACTGGATCAAGTCGGAAGAATGGTTCACCCACAAATACCGGTTGATGATGCCGAATCAAGAATAACAATAGAAAGTAGTGGGAATGTAAGTATCTAACAAGATTTCACAGTTTTCTTAATCGATTGTGCTCGTTCGAGCAATCTTTATAGTATGTTTCAGACATTAAAAAAGTCTGTTTTTCTGTTTTTGTTTTCAGTCGCAACCCCTTACTCCCCAAACTGATGCCTCACATGAATCAGACGTCGTTCTCTGTACGACACAATCCAATACAGAAGGACACTCAACCGCAGCAATATTTCCAACGTCTTCTGATATATTAAAACATTATCCAATAAGCGAATTGCCACAAGGCAGCACACTGCCAACTACTCAATCGAATATATTCTATGGTTCTTCTGCATTCAAAGATGAGAACACAAAAACCTTCGATACGAACTTAGAATCGAACATGTACAATTCATACCCGATCTCATCCTCATACATGCAATCTACACAAGAAGAAATAACGTCCTTAGCAGCGAACACCGCATCAAGCAATAATGTTCCGAATTCATCGCTTCCAAAAATATTAGCTAGTACTTTTCAACATGTGACAACTAAGATCGGTGAATTCAGTGAAAATACCACTCTTGATCCTATTCTACGCCAAAATATTCGAGAGACATTCAACGAAATAAATATTGTCTTGTGTGGTTCACCACGAGTTGGAAAAAGCACTCTGATCAATGCCATATGTCAACAGAAGTTGGCTAGAGCCAGACCTGGACTTGACAGCTGCACATCGATAATCTCCCGTTACGTCGTTAGGGATAGCATTGAAATTGACTCGGAAACTATAAACTATCAATACAACTTTTGGGACACTCCAGGATTCGAAAGTTGGACTCAAGAAGACATTCACAGAAGCTTAAAAATAATTTTAAAAAAACCTACACTGTAAAAAAAATTCGTAGAATAATAAACCCTAGTACTTTAGGAAAATCTTCCTAAACCC